ATTAGATTTTCTATTTCCCTATATACTCCACTGCATAATATCAATTAAAAATTCTTTGTTAATCTTTTAGTTTCACCAATTTTTTTTTCCCTTTTTATATTGAAATTTTTGACTCAGCTGAAATTTACTTTGGTGTGACAGGTGAAACAGATTCAACTTCACATTTCCTCCAAACGGTAAGCCAGTTACCCCAATATGATTTGCTGAGTAATCTATCTTTCTGATAAGTCTGAAATACTCTATCATATACTAAATTTATATACACACACACACACACACACACAAACACTATGAATTTTTGATAGTGAGCAGAGCTAGTTTCTCATCACTATTCTTTTTCATATTCCCCTCTCAGATATTCTTTCCTGTTAAACATTTTTTTAGGACTTACCTGGTGGTCCAATGGCTAAGACTCCATACTCCCAATGCAGGGGGCCTGGGTTCGATCCCTGGTCAGAGAACTAGATCTCACATGCCTCAACTAAGCCCCGACACAGCCAAACATATAAAAAATAAATATTCAAAAAATTTAAATTGCATTTTAGAATCATTTCCTAACACTCCACTCCTCTCTCCAAACCACGTTGTATTTTATTTCATTGAATTTGCAGCGGACACAGGGAGAAACCATGTTTTAACAATATCAACTTTCCATATGCAGTACAAGTCATTTTTTAAAATGTCATCTTCTCTGACTCTCCCTAGGGATTTGTTTTTCCATTATGTTTGGTTATTGTTGGCATACAGAAAAGCTGTTGGGTTCTATGTATTCATTTCTATGACTATTGGAACAAAGTACAGTGGCTTAAAACAACCAAACTTTATTGTCTTACAGCTCTGGAGGCTAGAAGCCTGAATCAAGCTGTTGGCAGAGCCACACACTCTCCAAGGGCCTAAGGGAGAATCTATTCCATGCCTTTCTCACAAGTCTGGTGTCACCTTACCATTCCTGGCTTGTAGCAGTGTAACTCCACCCTCTGCCTGTGCCGCCCTGCGGCCTTCTCACTGTGTCTTCACACTGTCTCATTAGGACATCAGTCAGAACAGATTAAGGCCCACCCTGTTCTTCAGCGTGACCTCATCTGAACGGATGAAATATGCAAGGGCCCTCTTTCCAAATGAGGTCATATTCTGAGGTCCTGGGGGTCAGGATTTCAACCTATTTTTTTGAAGCACATAATTCAATCCCTAACAACTTTATATATTCATTTTGTAGCTACCTACTTTAATTTCCCCATTGTTTCAATTATTTTACAGATGATGCTCTTGTGTTTCCTGGTACATATCAACTGTGTATCATGTAAGTGATGCTCTTTTCCCATTTGTTTACTTCAACCTTTATGCTAAACTCATTGGCTAGTACTTTATCATACCTGGTCAACAGGTATTCTCATCTGTAAAATTTTTGCTTCACTGTATTTAAAATTTGAACTTGACTACTACTGAAGCGAAACATTTTTTTAAAACCTATTCATTTGCATTTATTATTTTATGAACTGTTTTCATCCTTTATCTTTTACACTACAAATTTTTTCTTATTAATTTGAAAAGTCTTTTTGTGTTTTAAAAATATTAACCTTTTGGGACTTCTCTGCTGGTCCCATGGTTAAGACTCCTTGCTTCCAATGTAGGGGGCATGGGTTCAATTCCTGGTTGAGGAAGTAAGCTCCCACATGTCGCATGGTGCATCCAAAAAATTAAAAACAAAAATATTAACCTTTGGTGACATATATTGCCCTCAAGACTTTGAAATCACCTTGTCAACTATCCAGCTGTCAAAAGAAAGCACAAAAAATGGAAGAAAGGTGTAGATCTACTGTAACATAATAAATTAATCATTCCTTTCTGTGCAACCGTCTAATACATGAACAAATACCTCTCATAAGAGCAGTAAGAATGAATAGTGGAGTGCAATGTAGATTTTTATGAAGCACGCTTGAAAATTTCAAGTGCGCTAATACTTGTTTCAGAGTGCACCATTTCTAAACCATTCAATTTCTTTCCAGCTAAAGCACTCAAAAGAGTCTCAAGGACTAAATTACCTGATTAACCCTTTAATGCCAAATACTTACTTCACAGCTCTTATTCACATACTATCAAGTTTACACTGACATTTAAAGGCCCTAAACTCACCGTCAAAGAAAGTATTAATCTGTCCTTGGTTTATCTAAATGACCAAATAATAAGATTTAAGTGATAACCAGCTGTAAGATATGTCCTTATTAAATTTGATAGGATTTTTTAAAAGCCAAGTAATGTAATGAAGTTTGCAAAGTAATTTAGATTAACCAGGTTTGACTGCTCAATTTGGAAGTGATTCAGTGCACAGGTAGAGGCATAGAGACAATTTTTAAATATTAGGCTTTGATTGTTCCTCACCAGAAATTCAAGAAAAGTGAAACGAACATTACAATATATTACTTCAACCAGGTTTCATTACTCATAAACACGTGCTTATTTTAGCAGTTTAAAAAAAAAAAATCCTCCCCACAAGTTCCATTCCTTCCCAAGGAGCTGTTTACATGACTTACCCAGAAGGCACGAAATAGGATAAATGAAGGACAACCTACTTCTTAACATGTTAGTACTCATCCAAAATGTGTATGTCCCAAAAGCCCAGACAGGAAGTTCCCGCCCAGAACTTTGGGAGATAGCCAAGAACGTCCAAGTGAAAACGCTGAAATTTGAGAATACTCTCAATGGCATTAAAACCAGCCTGGATTTGGTCACTTGACTCATTTTGCATGTTATGTGTCTATTTATTTATCCTATGTACATTCTTACTTACTTAGAAATGATGTGACCTTTGCCGTACAGAAAAGCATGGAAAAATTAGGTTTATTTACTTGATTTTGCCACTTGTCTTTGTTTTGCCTGTCTAATCTATGAATGCCATTGTATTGGTCTGTGCAAGGACAAGGGCATTCAACAAATGTTAAGTGATTACATATTACCATGACACTTTATGCCTGTAACTTGTAGATTTGTAGCCTCCATTCACTGAGACAACTGCTTTGAGATCTAAGAAGCTGATAAAGATACATATCAAAGAAGCTTATATATCTATACACTGTATATGCATCTGTATAAAATACTGTGCTTCTTCCTGTGCTTTGTGGCCACAACGGTTTGAAAAGCATTCTATTGAATGTGTTTTGTCTATGACGAGGTACAGTCCTTCAGAGCATTCTCTGTGTCCCATTCTACATGCTAGACAGGCTTTCTTTGTGGCCCAGGTGGTAAAGAATCCGTCTGCAACACAGGAGACCCAAGCTAGACATGGTCTTGCTTTGCACTTTTTCTACAAATGTTTACTGAGCAGCTGCTACGTTAATTGGAGGTCTTAGTTTAGGAAATTTCTACTTATTATTACACAAATAGAAGGTTTTAAATAAAAGTTTAAAAACAAGTTAATGCTTAATCGATTATAATTGCTCTTAATGTGCCTCTTGGCCACAAGAACAACTGGAACATGTCAAAAATTCTCAGAACGTTTTACGAATTTAAAAACTCAATATGCCAAAAACAAAAAAACAAACCTGAAACCAAAAATCCTCCACCTGTTCTTAACACCAAACCACAAGATAATCTAAAGAGTTCAATTCTCCTGATCCTCAAATCTCTAATACTGAATCTTAGTATAAATTTTTACATTGTAATTATAGTTCTTACTTCCTCCCTCTTCCCCTCTTCTACCTCAAATACTTAAAAATGGCATGTAATATGTATTAAAATGATGACATTTCAATTTAGAAATGCTTCAGATATATGCTATTCTCTGATGAAGTAATTTTCTAAATGAGTGAAAGTTTTATTTTATAAATGATACATTCTATGCTTTTAAACAGAGTAGGCTTTAGAAATAATATTAAAGAATGGTATTATTTTTCTCTTCTCTGATTTTTTTCAGATTCAATAAATGTTAGTTTCTAGTTATCATCTGCAACTTCCAAAATTTGATCAACCATATTACAAGTATGTATTTTATAGCAGCAAAAATTCATTTTCTTATTTTTTCAATTATGAGTTTTAAAGTATAAATGTTATTATTACTATTTTGGTTCATTAGATCATGGTTCATGTTAGGTTGGTGACATAAGGCTCATACATATTTTCTAGAAATATAATAAAACGAGTGTTATATATTCTTAAGAAATAAGCTCAAAAGATTAAGTTACAGGTTTACAATAGCACTGGGAAAAAGCTTTGTGAGGCAACAATACCCTTTTCTAGTCAATCAAGGTAATTCAGGTTTGGCTGGGTCAGTGCATGCTGTAGCTAGCTTGAACCTTCCCAATTCTGTTCGGTAATGTCACATTAGCCACTTGAAACTGGTCACAGTGGAAGTATTTACACTACAGAAAAGAGCAAAAGCTATAAATCAGAGGTTCCCTTTCCATTTAACATTTATTTCCCAGAACTGTACAACATTCATTTATTTATTTCCCAGTACTGGCAACATTTATTATTCCTTTAAAACACAATTCAATTCTTTATTATTCATAAGAATTTTATTCTTAAAGATCTAAATGGTTGGGTGTTTTCTGTATAAATCTTTCTGGAAAAAGATTTAAATGTTTCCCATTAGTAATGGAAATGTCAGACTTTGTGAAGAAATAAATATGTGAGGTTGCATCCATAGAGAAGTTCTTATTTTTCCTTTCTTAAAAATCTTTTGGCCATGCCACGTGATATGGGGGACGATCTTAGTTTCCCAACTGTGAATCAAACCCTCACCCCTTGCCTGGGAAGCATGGAGTCTGAACCACTGGACTGCCAGGAAGTCCCGGGTTCTTACTTTCTTATCCGGGAGTTGTATGCTACTCAGAATAAAATACTCAAAATTTGGATATCTATCTTAGAAAAAAAATCATCTTGTTTTTAATTTAATTCACGCTTAAGCAGCAAAACATCTAGACTTTAAATAGAACCTAACAGATTTTAATTCTCTGTCAAAAATGGCTATGACTTAATGCTAAAAGGTTAATTAAAATACTCTGTAAAGTATGAAAGAAGCAATTTTATTAGATGAACTCATTTATTTGACACATTAAATTAGGCAAAGAAAAATATATGCACTGCATAAAAAGAATCACATTCTCATACTACTTGAACACATAGCAGTGGTCAAAAATAATGAATTGTGGAATGGATCCCAGGATTTAATGCAAAAAATACCCTGTACAGAAAACTTCAGGCTTCTAACTTCACTGAATCCAGTACTAAACGTGCCTCCTTATATTCCTCAGCTTCTTCCAAGTCTTTTTCACTCTCCTGAAAATAAATGTAATAAAAATTAGGTTTATTCTCCTTGAACTTCAGTACTTATTATTCAGATATTACAAACTATCAAGATAAGCAGCTCAAAAATTAAAACAAAATTTTTTTTATATATTCTTATATATGATATACAATATCATATATTCTTATATAATAAGAAAAAAACATGGTCATCTAAAGCCACTTACATTAAGTAATTAAAATCTCAGGAAAAAAATTAAAACATTGTATTCTCACTTTATTAACACAATAAAATGGGGTTATTATTAGTGCACTAACAATAAAAAATTATTTGCTAATGCATTACATATATGATGACACTCAGACTAAAATAATCCTACAGCTGCTCACAATGACAAAGAAGGCTACAGGTGTCACACTAGAGTTAAGTACAGTCTTTGAATCAGAACAGTGAACTGTCTTCTTGTTGATGAGTATTATATACCCTACTACAAGGAAACAACAGCTTTCATTTTCTGACATTTAAAGACTGAGTTCTTCCTTGGTATATCATACACAAAACTATTATTTAATAGTAACAGATAAATGAAATAATGTAAGTTACTGAGCACAGAGCATAGGAAATTTTGTTTGATTTTTTAGTAAACAAAGCTATGGTCAGCAACTCAGGTCAGGCAATAAAAGATGAATATATACAAACAGCTAGAGGGAAGAGGAAATAAAGTGTGTGTACATGTATTTAATATGAAATTTTAAAGGAAAAAAGACTGAGGATTTGCTTAATTCAGACTACAGGTAAGAATTTCTTAAACTTCTCTGTTATACTTGAACACGCCTTTGTTCTCTGTTAGAACATATGAGCTCTTTGAGGGTACAGACATTGCTGAATATATCCTCACACACAAATACATCATCCAAAGACAATATTATTTTTTAAACAGTTTTTATTACTTTCTTGGTTACTACATTCATGAGAGAAAAAAGCATTTCAATTGTCAGGAAATACAAATGATGCTTCTGTTCCGGGTAACATTTTAATAGAGTATTATTTCCTGCTTTCATTTATCTTTTATTTCATCTCTTTTATTTTAAAAACTTAGCTTCATTTTGGCTTTAAAGAGTTATCCTGCCTTGAAAAGGTTCCGACAGATAAATACGAGTTCTGTTTCAAAAATAAAGTAAAATGTGAGTATTTCTCTGTTTCGTTTTTTCTACAGACTTAAGTCCTGATGTTATTTTGGTGGGAAAACAAATCTCATTCTCTTTCCAAGAATATATACATATGATCAACCTGAAAAAGCCTCACTATGTTTGATATATAGGAAAGAACTATGAACAGGAGACAGCTATGTAGCTGGTAATTAATATTAGCTCAAGAACTAGAAACTAAAGGTTAATAAAGGAAATGACAGAATTCATCAAATTATCATCAAATAGCAATAATAACTGGCTAGTATACAGTATTCTGCTTTTATTTTTTTTAAGAAATAAAAAGAAGAAAGAAGATAACCTCTCATTTTTCTTAGAATCCCTTTTTAAAATGATCCTGCCACTGTATCACAAGACATTTATACCAGCAGAGTGTTACCAGCTCCAAGTGAATATGAAAGGACTGCCTCTATATTACTGTACAGGGTTTTCTTTCCTCTCTCAAATTGTTTTAGGTTTGAATTGGGAAAAATTCCAAATCCTTTGTAAAACAGCCTAAATTCATTTGAAACATCTGGATCTTTTAAAACATCAAACAGAATACTTACTCACATTTAATGTATTAAAAAAGATCTTTATGTGTGAAAATCGAATCATTCAAGATACTGCTGGACAATATTAGTACTATGAACACCTACCATGATAACTCAAATATATTTCAACTCAGTTTAAGTGAATAGAGTGAATATGCTGACACAGTACTTTTACTGGAGGCATAACTTAAATACCACTTAAACTCCATTAATTATTTAAAAATAAACTGGTACACTGAGCAAGTAAACAAATGTCACCAACTAGTTTTCAGTGTCAAAGATTTAAAATTTTAGCCTTTGATGTATTAAGACTGAAGAAACACTGAAACCTAAGATAAGCAGCACTTACTAATAACTGCAGAAGGTCAGCGTGTGCAGCTTCCAACCTGCGTCGGCAGTCTGGAATCATCATCCGGGACTCCTGCAGGATCTCGGCCTGTAACGAGATGACCTGTGAGACACGCAGAGGTGGCAGAACTTACACATTTAGCTCACACCTGTGAAAATATGTAAAATGATTTAGAGGAATCAGAAAAAAATTATGGCTCTGTTAAATGGTTCAATATTTTAATTTTAATTGTGTTTATTAGAAGTTAGAAAGAATGACTATCAAACTGTAAAATATACAAAGTTCAAGTCTTCGATCTAAACCTTTTTGGTAATCACCTTCCCATGCTAAGTAAAAATTAACTCTGAAAGCTTTTCATAGAGCATTTATTTAAAAAGGTTATTTAAAATAAACTGTTTCTCCTGCTGTCACAAAGCACCGTTATCCAAAATGGGATCAGCTGGTTATATAAATATCTCCTGCATCTTTTGAGTAATAAAGAAAAACAGTGCTCAGATAATATCACATGGAGATAATTACTGCATGAAAAAAGTTATTGAGTTATTGATCACATCGTGTGCACACTGCAGGAGGTTCTCACTGAAAGACAGAGGTGAGGAAAAATGAAAAGCAAAGACCAGCAGGTTCATATTTCTGATGCTTATCATGCATAAAAAGTTATTACTTATCCCTGTGCTTCATTTTAGGGGAGAGATTATTCTCCCCATGCAGTTTGATCCAAATTACCAACCAGGCACCCCTTTGAATCTGAACTTCTACTTCTGTCTATTTCTCCTGAAGACAGACACTATAGAATTAAACACAGGAATCTTTATTTTGGAGGATACTTCTTGACTTAAAATTCACCATTTGAAGCTGGACTATAATGTATCAAATCATAAAAAGAAGAAAAAAAAATCAAATGGATGAATGGGAAACCCAATCAGTAAGAGGGTAAATATATTAGTGTTAGATGTTGATTCTCAAATAAGTCTTTTTCCCAAGGAAATATGAAGCTTTATCTCCTTAAACTAGTCTCAGAAAGAGACAGAGATCAATGAAACATTTATTTCCAAAAAGTAATGTTTGGTCAAATACCTTTGGTTAAATGGCTACAAAATCTTGAACTTTAACCTGGAAGCTTTACTATCTAACTCACATTAAAAACAAATGACATAATTTAATGGTAACCATAATCATATTACAGTCTAACAGAAATTTTAATGAATCCCACTACCTTCTTTCTTTTCCCAAAAGTTTTATCACTGTTCACAATATAAATAAAAATAAAAATTATAATATACAACAATCCTCTCTATCCACATCTCTTTTCTTAGGTGAAATCTCTTGCTGAACTTGTAATTCTTTTCCTAATAAGGCACATGTTGAAATACAGGATCATGACTTTATTTTACAGCTATTCATATCATGCCATGGCAATTCAATCATCACCATTAATCTATTTTTAAGGACTTCCCTGCTGGCTCAAATGGTAAATAATCTGCCTACAATGCAGGGGACCTGGATTCGACCCTAAGTTGGGAAGACACCCTGGAGAAGGAAATGGCTACCTACTCCAGTATTCTTGCCTGGAGAATTCCATGAACAGAGGAGTCTGGCCCATTGGGTTGGCAAAGAGTTGGACACGACTAAGCCACTAACAACTTATTTTTGTGTGTCTGGTTAGTCTGAATACATGTGAAAAGACAGTGACAGGGACATTTAATTGGGTAAGGAATTCATATTTCCTCCCCTATGGACCCCCCCTCCACTAGTTTACAGGAATTAAACAAGATGAAATAAATATAAAGAATTGGGTCAAACACATGAAATGAACTTTAAACAATGCTGTCCAAAGTACCTTCTATTCATTTCTTTTCTATATCCCTCAATTAATCAAATAGGATTCTGACTTAAGAAGGGCCAAAGCTCAGTCTCTCCCATCTATCAGCCTCATTTCATATAATAAGCTTACTATATAGTTGCAGGATGTCAGGTACAAGGGATATAAATACAAAAGAGAAGGTCTCATCCTCCAATCCATGTGGGAGAATAAACATGAAAATAAACACTTAACACTGCTTCACTGTACTTCATACAGTACAGTGATGAATATGGTTTCGGATCCATAAACCACATCTTTATCAAGGCCACAAATCATATACTTTACCTCTGACACTGAATTACAATTGTCAGGAATAATTTAAAAAGACAGTATATAAGGTATGATTATACAGTAAAGACACCCCTCAAAACACCTGAATAAATGAAAAAAGTATTATCATTCAAAGTGTTCTTCGTGGAAGTAGTCATTCAAAGTGTTCTTCGTGGAAGTATTCATTCAAATGAATGGTGCCTCTGTTTAAAATATCTGGATAAACTGGCAATTTATTTTAGTGCTGATGATGACAAGACTGAGGTTAACTAAGGATCCTGGGGAAAGCGTAGCAAGACTCATTGCAACAGTGAATAAGCCACTGAACTAAAATATGATCGGCTTCTTTCAGAATCAAACATATATACATTGAAAAGGAAAAACCTATTAGCAGATTTTTAACTCTTCAAAAAGAAGAGTGTGTGTGAAATAACCTAGCCAATGGTTTCTAGCTCCCTTAGTGATCCAGATCATTCCGCAGGGCTGGTTATACCTATAATAATCTATAGATCGTCTAATGTTAGATACTGGCTGCTTCTAGAACCAATGGTAAATGCATTAGTTTATCAAATTGAGCTCTAAGAGTAGTTCAGAGATTACTGGAATGATGGTTAAGTCTCTTCTTTTATATGGTGCTAAAATGGTAATGTGATAATAAACAAGAAATCTATCTGATGAAGAAAAAAACTAACTATATGAGGTGATGGATATGTTAAGTAGCATGAATATGGTGGATATTTCACAAGGTATATGTACATCAAACCATCAAGCTACCCACCTTAAATATATACAGTTTTAATTTTACCTCAATAAAGCTGGAGGAAAAAGATATCTAAGAAACAGAATCATAGAGTTAGAGAGGACATAACCACATCTGGTATGTCATCCAGTCCAGTGTCCTCAGTTTACAAGCGATAAAGCTGAGTCTGAGTGTGATCAGCTGGTTAACCAGCTGTGCGTACAGCCCCTGATTCCAGCTCTAGCATGTGCGTTAGTAGCACCGGCAGCCAGCAGCCAAGACAGAGCCCATGGCGTCACCTCCTGTTTTCCTGCTCGTGAGCAGGCACCTCCCACAATGAATTTGGTCTGGCACTGTGAAACCAACAGGTTGTGGCAGAAGGGGCGTTCTGAAACTGAAGACCTGGAGCTGCGTCTTAAGAAGCCCTATAGCTTCTACATGGATCTCTTGAAATGAACACTTTGGGAAACACTTCTCTTGGACCCAGTCACCATGCCATGAAGAAGACAGACAGACAGAAAGAAAGAAAGAAAGAAAGAAAGAAAAAGTTCATCTGACTTGTGTTTTGTGGTTATTGATGAATGATTAAGGATGGAAGAAGAATCCTATGAGTCAAAAATAATCTGGGCTCTAAGCACTGACATACCAATAATTACTTAAACACGAATGGTCTAAATTTACCAGCTAAAAATAGGTCTTCAAGAAACTCACTTCAAATGAAAGAGATAGGTTAAAAAAAGAATAGAAAAAAGATATATCATGCAAACATTAAAAAAAAAAAGACAGGAGTGACTATATTCATGTTGGATTCATACTGGATAAAATAGACTTAAGAGTAAAAATTTATGAGGGACACAGAGAGATATTATATAATGATAAAATGATCAATCCATCAAGAAAACACAGTGATCCTAAATGTGTACATACTAAACAAGTATGAACACAGGAACACATAAAACTAGAAACAAAAACACATGAAATTAGAAACAATAAAGCTAAAAGGAGAGACAAACCCACAAACACAGCTGAGGATTCCAATACTCCAGTTTTAGCAAATGACAGAAGTACTAGAGAAAAAAATAATCAGCAAAGATATAAAAGAACCTAGTAACACCATCAAAAGATCTAATTGACATTTATAGAACACTCTACACCTATGAAACAAAAATGTAAATTCTTTTCAAGCACCTATGAAACATTCTCTATAGTACACTATATCCTGGACCAAAAGGAACAAACACAAAATGAACAAAAACCTCAACAAATTTAAAAGTACTGAAATAAAACATAGCACATGTCTGACTATAATGGAATAAAATTAGAAGACTGTAACAGAAAGACAGGAAAACCTGTAAGCATTTACAAATTAAACAACATACTTCTAAATAACTAATGGGTCACAACAAGGAAGTCTCTAAGGAAACAGAGAAATACATAGATAAATGAAAATACAGCATATTAAAATTTCTGGGATTTTCAGCTAACGCAATGCTGAGAGGGAAATTTAGAGCACTAAATGCTTAGATTCGTAAAGAGGAAAGATCTCAAATTAAAAAGCTAAGTTTTTACTTCAGGAACCTAGAAAAAGAAGAGCAAGATAAACCTATACAAGCAGAAGAAAGGAAATAACAAATACAAGAACTGAAATCAATAAAATGAAAAACAGAAAGAGAACAGAGGGGAAAAAAGCAATGAAACAAAGCTTTATTTTTGGTATAGACTTCTACTTAAGACTGACAAATATCAAGTAAAAAGGCACAAATTGCCACTATCAGTAACAAAATAGAGAATGTCAGTACAGATCTCACAACCAACAAAAAGAAAAACAAAGCTAAAAGTAATTTTATAATACTCACAAATGTTCATAATGCTCAGTAATGTTCATAATGCTCATAAATTCAACCACTTAGAAGACATGGACCAGTTCCTTGAAAACTATAAACCACAAAAACTCAACAGATAAACTGAACAGTTCTGTAATTATTAAATAAATCAAAATTTTAATTAAAAAGTTTTTGAAAAAGAGTTCTCCAAGCCTAGATGCTTTCACTGAACAATTTTTTTTTCAAATATTTAAAAAACATCAATTTTATACAAATCTTTCAAGAAAAAAGAGGGAACACTTCCCAACTTAATAAAAAAAAAAACTTCAGACTATTATTTCCCATAAACTTAGATGCAAAAATCCTCAATAAAATACTAGCAAATCAAATC